GAAAGCTATGAAACAGCAGGGAACATGGCTGGTTTATTGTTTATCTTTTGTTTATGAGGCAGTATTCAAGTTTAATTACTACTCTAAATTAAACTCTAACTGGCATCAGGAGACATCCCTTTATATGACTAAGTTAAAAAAAAAAATCTGGAAATCCCAACTCTGGGTTTTTCAAGTAAGTTGATACATATAGGAAGAAATTACTCAAAATTAACAGCAATTATAGAAAGCTTTTAAGCATTTATGGGCACCAGTGCATGCTCCTAGAGCATTTATTTATTAGAAGAATTTAATTTTACTTCTAATGGTTACTACTCTAAAAAGTCTTGAGAAAATCAACAGAAAAATCTTTGGATGTTTGCTGATGGTCTAAGAATGGCATTCTTTTAAAATTTATTTGGGGGAAAATAAGAGAAAGAATGCAATGTAAATATTCCGCATACAACAATTTATTCTATGGCAATGTTCAATGATCAATTATAGTCTCAGAGAATTTTTTGACACAATTAGAAGGACAGGAAGGAAAAAAATGTCATTGTATTTATCATAACAGTAAGTGACCAGTTTTGGATGAACTTAGCTCTAGGAAAAATAAAAGTTAAAAGCAACTAGCAAAAGATTATGCCAGATGGCATCTGTCATATTGTATTTAGGGTTATTTTAAAGAGATTGCCGCCACTATGAAAACATTCCATTGACAGAGTTTTCCAGACTGAATAAGAAATCCCAGTAGAACATATTCAGGACCCACAGTAAGTGGGTTTGAAGACCCCTCCTCCTCTTTAAATATATAACTGGAATAGTTTGGTGGGGAAAAATACTATTTTATAACTATGACATGTACTATAAGCTCAAAAGTGCAATACTATTTTAGACATTTGCTTACCTATAAACACATTCACTACTAAGGAGATACTTGTAGATTTCAACACCATGATTGCTAAATAACTGTATATTACATAAATAAATATCTAGTTATGAGGAATTCTAGCCTCCTCGCCTGGAATGTTTTGGGGACATCAACAGAGGGGCGTGGTAGGTGGCAGAGTTAGGGAGAACTATGCTGGCTTGTACAGCTCTGTGTCCTGAAAGATTAAAGCAATATAGATTTTAGAATGCTAATGTATTTAGGTTAAACTGGGTCTGGCAACAGTATGGTTAACGTGTGTGTGGTGTGCAGTGTGAGCTCAGCAGTTACTGGGCCAACTGTCTCGGTATTTCTGGGAATCCTGCCTATTCACAGTGCAGGGATTGTTCAATTGCTGCAAATGTACAAAATGAATTTTACAAAAATGAATTGTAAGGAAGGCCCCATTACAATGATTTTACAGCAAAGATGTCAACATCAATTTTTCTTTCATGCATAGCTAATGATTAAAACAGCATATTCCATTTGCCTAAGACAATTTATTTCATATTGGCACATCAAAATATTGAAATACAAAGTTATCTTTACTCTACCCTTTTTATTCATTGCTGCTGAACCCATACCATTGTTCAAACCAGGAAAAATAAAACAAACTTGGCACGAAATACTTAAAACAAAGGCTCATCAATATTCTCCAATTTGTCAACATCTCAATTACAGCACTGGAAAAAATGTAAATTTCATGTGCTCTAAACACTGAGGGGTCTATTCTCTTGCCAATTCACATGCGTAACTCCCATCAGCGTTAATGGGAGCTACACAAACCCATCAATAATAATAATACTTTGTACATATATTGTGCCTTTCATCTGGGGCTCTCAAAGTGCTCTAGGAACAAGGGGCTGCTTCCTAGTTTTTACTCTGGCAAAATACACAGAGAAATACAAAGCAGCTTTTGACTCAGCAGGTACAGAATTAGGGGTCCCTAGCCTTATTATCAAGCCCCATTTTACTGATGGGAAGCCAGACACAAAGAGGGCCAGTTACTTCCCCAGAGCCCCGAGTCTGCACCCTAATTCTATCCTTGAAAAACCAGATTTCCTTCCTCATTCTAATGTGACTAACAAGACAAACTCCTTCCTTTGGCTGCTTTTGGCAAATCAGTGAGTGAAAAGTCTGGTTCATATTTATATAGCTTACTGTTAGGCATGTGCTCTTTGAAAGAGAGTAAAGTCAGGCTTTACATTTGACCAAGTTTATTTCTTAGGATATGTAAAACATTTGATATATATACTTTTCTCCTCCTTTTGGTTCACTGCTGAAACACTATGGACGAAAAAGATGAACTTTCACCTGTGTAACTGCAGCTCTTTTACTGTCAAGTCATAAAATTAGGTATTTTTAGGTTCCAACGTAAAGATTTGTATGAATCATTATAGTAAAAATAATCACAAAAATTATAAAGCAACATAAATACATACATTGTTTTACAGCATATGGCTATTAAAGTTTAATTTAAAATGTGTATGAAAACATTGTATTTAGTACAATTCATCTCTATTTTTTGTTTATCATAATTTGTTTTGAAACTGAATCATTTTACAGTTTTCCATATGCCTGTTTTGCTAATAAATTCTGAATAAGAAAAGTCTTTGCTAAACTACAAACTTGATTTCCAATGAAACGTTATAATATATTTAATACTAAGGACGTAAATTTCTTTCCCACGTTTTCCATTATACATCAACCCTAAGATTTAACCTAGGATAAGCATATGCGATTTCAGTCAATATCTCTGTTGACTTTGCCCTGAAGCAGATAATTAATCTTTCCCACTGAAACTACTCTGGACAATTCAGTGGGACAAAATATCAAAATACCTTGAAAACCTGTTTAAAAGACTAATATAAGCAGGAGTACGACAAAATACACTTGTCTGGCCTTCAAAATTCAAAGTTCGCTGTAAAAAGCCAGAATACCCTTATATATGTGTTTAAAGCCAGGTATGAAATTTTCCATGCCAAAACAGTCTCCATTTTATAAAAATCATACCTTTTTTTCCTTTCAAACTGATATAGTAAAATGACTGACTTCCTAGTGCTCATACACATAAGCTACTATGTCCATTCTTTAATCCCACAGAGATATGATTAAAGGAACAGAATCCTACAGGGATCACATCCTTCCACATTGGATAAGTGGGTGCAGCTACCCACAACATAGAAGTTTGTGTGCATTGTTTTTACCTATATATCAGTCTCAGAATTCTTCTCTTGCCTAAAAAATGAAACAAAACGAGCTAACCAAAATGATAAAACTTTATGCTTTGCTTGTTATTGCAAGTAATCCCAGCTCCAAACCCTGGGTTCTTCTCTCTCCCACCTCCTCTTCTCTCTGGCTCTTTCTTGCTATCTCTCTTGCCATAACTCAGCTAACCCAACAGAACCAGTCAGTTTTAAATTTCAGTTGGGACCTTGGTGACCTGTTAATGAATCTACAGAGAGGAGAAAAACTCACAGTGTTGAGTTATGCCTGGTGTTGCTAGCTGACTTGGAGTCAGAAATGCTTGAAGCGTTAACGTAATTGCAAGAATGTGAAAAATGAGGCGCTGGGCTCCTGAGCAAAGTGAAAGGTCAAAGTGAGCCTCACACACAAGAAGTCTCTGGAAGATAGCCTCATTAGACCATTAAGTCGGCTTCTCCTTTTCCCCTCTTTCATGCAATGTTTAAAGTATTTTGTTTTTATTAATAGATACATTTCACCCTTTGTGTCACTGCAATTTGGGGAGGCGGGAAGGAAGGAGTCATAGAAAGCTTTGCAGATTTAACCACACTGAGAAGTCCACCACCATGACGTAGAACCACAATTAAGTCATTGCTTGCAGATCCATTGACTCTAGGTACCATTTATCTTCAAAACGCCTTATCATTTACCTTTCTTTTATATAGAAGCTAACTGGTCTAATAAAACAGTATATATTGCATAGGTACAATTCGCAGGTTCTTCCACAATTTGCTGTCTGATAGGATTCATTGCTGTGTTAGTTTCAATTTGCTTAAACCTAGATTCTAATTTGGACCCATTCACAAGTGAATGGCATCCTAGAAAGGACATTTTTCTAGACTCCTCTAGAACCTCAGAAATCCAAAATTCCTAGTCAGAAGCTTGGAGGATAGAAGGCCCCCTACTTACCTCAACACCCTCTTTTAAATGGCATATATAACTACAGCTCAAGCTGTTAAACTGTCCTCTACTTGGAAGCCTGTCTAATACTTAAATATTGTGGCCATAAACACAGTCATAATAGAGATGAAATAGACCTAGGAGATCAGACACCATCTAATGTAAAATATTAAAAAGTAAAATCTGCACACTTCCCTGGCCCACATTCAGTAATGCATCTTCCTTTAAATTATCATTTTAGCCATAGATGAGTCATTCCTACCAATATATAATTGCTCTCTGTGCAATAGGGGAGTTTTAAATAGTAAAATTTATTCTAAATTGCACTAGGTTTCCTCGACATCTGCAGTTGACCTCCCCCTTGCCCTCTGATTATTCTAAGTTTTAGGACTTGTGACAAAAGTCACCATGTCAGTTGAATGGGAATGGGGACAAATAACCCTCTAAGAATTTCAAAATCTACCTTCCCAAGGTAAGATTCGACACAGAATTCCCACAGTATTTCCAGAGCTAATAAGAACAGATTTCTAAATTTTATGTGCTTTAGAGGCATAATTGTTTGATTACAGAGAATGCTTATAGTTGATATTACAGGCAAAATATGCTGTTTATAGCACAATTCAAATCACTGCATCACAGCAGTAAAGTAGGTCTGTCATTCCACTTATACACACAGAAATAAAGTGTAGATAACCAAATTTGTGAAAGAATTGGCAGAACTAATCAATTATTATTGTAATGCCTACTGAAAGATTAGACAGCTCACTTTGATTTCTATTTTTAAGCAAAGTAAGTAAAGAAGAGGAAATACTGTCTCTTTAAATAGCAGCTGATTCTACTCCCTAACCTGCCACTCTCATGTTTACATGAAGGCAGATGTAATGATATCATAAAATACTGAAGTTATTTTAGTGCCTACTGGACACAAGGAAAATGCTTGACCTTTTACCTTGCTCACTGCTGTTGTCTCCGCTCTGGGACGCATGGCCCCCACTGGAGGGCCCTGGGGTGCCTGCTGAGTGGGTTGAGGTTGCATCATCGTGGTCTCGCCAAGAAGAAGGGTTCTGATGTCAGGATGCCAAGGAATTTTTCCACAGTTACCATTTCAGCCATAAACGAAGAACCAAGAGGAAACGTGCAAAAAGAGACAAAAAAAAGTATACATATTAGTGTTTGTGGCACTAGGCATATGCACATGTCACATTACAGTGTGCTGTCTTTTTGGTAACAGGCATATAATAAAAGAAAAGACGCTCTAGATCTTGATGCGGTGATGGTTATACCAGTGTATATGTTGGTTAAAACCAACGGAAGTATACACTTTAAGTGGGTAAATTTTATTCTATACAAATTTAAAACTAAACAAAGTTAATTTCCAAAATAAAACAAAATAATGAAAAATATAAAAGTCATTTTTACTCTCGCTATTTTAATGAGGGTACATTCATCCAAGAAATAGGCCCCAATGCTCATGGACACTAAATACTTCAGAACATTAACATCTGCAAAATTCAATGACTCCATTAAAAAAATTACAGGCTCAACAATATATGGGACAGCCCTTGACATGTTTGAAATGCATTGCCCTAAAACAGCCTATAAAAACTCTCAAAATTATTAACTGATTGACTACATAACCAACACAGGCAATGACATTAATCACTGCATCAATACCAAATAAATGATTGATTTTTGCTTTAATTTGTAGACATAATTTCAAAAAGGAAACACATGTGAACTACTGGCCGTCTAGTAAGCTAGATAGGACTTTCACTTGAGCTTCATGGAAGCTTTAAATTCACTGAGCAGTGCTTTTCTCTAGAAAAACTACTTGTTTCAAAGGACATGCAAGGCAAACTGAGAGTTATAGCTCATGCTACTTGGCTGAGCATATTCTTCTTCTGTTCCTCCTCCCCTTTCCTGATCATTCCCAATGCCCTGCTGTTGCTTAAAGGAAAACAGGAATTCTAATGTACAGGAAGGACTTTATCAGCACCACATGAAGGCAGGCAAGAGATGGAATTTCCTCTGGCAGAAACGGAGAGTAGGAACAGCATATGAAACAGTCCAGCTTTAAAGCCAGAGCTATACACTTGTCACCTGCATATGACGACTTCAATTAAGCCCAGAGACCTACTGGCAGGAGAATGATTTGAGGGCCAGAGGAAGGGGCAAAGTTTTCCCTAAAAACCAGTCAAAGTACACACCAGTCAAATTATACAAAGTATATACCAATCTAAGTATACACCAATGCATACACAGTATACACCAATAAAAGTATACAAATTATACAAAGTATACACCAAAGCATACACAGTATACACCAAAGTATACAAATTATACAAAGTATACACCAAAGCATACACAGTATACACCAATCAAAGTATACAAATTATACAAAGTATACACCAAAGTACACAAAGTATACCATAAAAAAATCAAATTATACACTGTTTCTTACTAGAATTGGTAAATAAGAATTCAGATGGGCCACCTGCGTATAGGCAACGAATAAATTTCTTGACCAAGGGAAAGTAATCTGGCATTGTTGTCATTATATATAATTAATCAAGAAAAAAGTCCATTTTTCTCAGCATCATCTCTACTGTGTACATATAGCACGGATGATGTTACCAAAATAAAACAGGAAACCAAGGTGAGAAAGAAATAGGGAAATGTTCTTACTTGGAACAACAAAACTTATTTTTCCTGCTACAGATCTGCAGCAAACTGACTGCAAATTAATATTTGGTATTTTTGATAGATGATGAAATAATAATCCAGAGCTCTAAGGATTAATAACATCTGTATAAAATAATGCTACTGGCAATGCCATCAGTCAAGCAATTGATTCAAAGTGAAAACCCTGAGCAGAAATTGTGTGACTATAAGTACGGCTAGGTATAGATCTCCAAAATAAAGATATGTTTGAGAGAGTAGATAAGGGAATGAAATTTAGTAGAATAAAATGAAAGTCAAGGTTTTCTGCTGCTTGTATAAAGACAAAGTCATGCCTGCGAGCTCTCTTTTTTCAACGAAGTTAGAAACTCTTCCAATAGTTTTCAGCAAAAGGCAAACAGAATACAGGGGCTCCTTAGGCTTTGAAGCCTCTTTGTGTCAGCTGTTTGCCGGTGGTAATGAGATAAAGAGCTAGAAGAAAAGAAAGGAAGAGAGAAAAAGAGAGAGAGAGAGAGAGAGAGAGAGATAAAAGAAAAAGAAAGAAGGAAAGGAAGGAAGGAAGGAAGGAAGGAAGGAAGGAAGGAAGGAAGGAAGGAAGGAAGGAAGGGGAAGGAAGGAAGGAAGGAAGGAAGGGAAAGGAAGGAACAAAGAAAGAAAGAGAGGGAGAGGGAGGGAGAGAGAAAGAGAGGGAGGGAGGGAGGAAAAGAGAGAGAGAGACAGGGAGAGAGAGAGAAAGAGAGAGGGAGGGATGGAAAGAGAGAGAAAGACAGAAAGAAAGAAAGAAAGAAAGAAAGAAAGAAAGAAAGAAAGAAAGAAAGAAAGAAAAGAGAAAGGAAGGAAGGAAGAAAGGAAGGAAGGAAGGAGAAAGAAAAATAGGATGGTGTGAGTTTAGTCCTGCAATAACACAGGCTAGAGCCTCCTTTTAGAAAATGCAATAGCTGCAACATATTCACCTAAGTTAAACTTTTCATTGTACACAGCAAGTGATGCTAATTTTATGCACTGCAGGCTTTTTATTAAGCCGGCTGCAATAAAAGCTACTTACCCCTCATGAAAATTACAATAATTAACCACTAACACCTCAACTATGTTTTAAGGCAAATGTCATCCAATAGCTATTATATAATCGTTTAAATGAAGCCGGAGCAAGTCTTTCTGTTTAGGCCCTGCACTGATTTGAAGGGATCGCTCAGAAGGACTTCCTGTAACTGAAAACACTGGTCTGTCTGTCTCTATTAGCTAAACCAGTGCTGAGTTTTAAAGTGAGACCTCATTCGTTTATAATTCAGCGTATTTATTTCAATGGTATCTGAAGGAGATGTTTCCTAAAGTAAAGGGATGAAAAATAAGCCATAGAAGCAAATATTACTTTTAAGAGCAGCTGGCTCTTCCAAATAAATTGGGTCTTTGCTTTTTCGCCCAACCCCAAAATATACTTAAGTTCCCTCTTTAACCTATCATTCCCTTATCTCTTCCCTCTTTCCTTCCTCACTATAAATGCTCTCCTGAAAATGTGTCATGTTTATTTCCCATAGACTGTCTCAAGTATTATGGTCTTGTTTGAGAGACTGAACACAAACTAAGCAGTATCACACGATAGTCATCTAATTTGAAATAAGGAAGAACAGATAAATCCCTCTGGGGTTTCAAGGCTGAGGAGTTACCCCAAGTTGTTTGTATTCAGCTACACATGGTGATGATGTGGCCACATACAAATACAAATGGTGATAATCTGGTTAATAAAAAAATTGTTCCTCCTTGGTCATAAAAACCGTAACCAACAAGGATGGACAAAATCTATACCTTTAACATATTCCCCCTGAGATTAAAATATGTGTTTATATCACAACTCTTTTCTTCTATTTTCCCCTTAGAGTTTATAAGCTTAGATCCTTCAAGAAAAATTGCATGGCTTTCTGCCAAATTATATGCAGAAGTTTAGTGAATCCTGAAACCAAAATGTCATATAAAAGCATGTAAAAACACATGATGCAAGTAGGAAAATAAAGAGAAATGCTCACTGGGTACACGTGTGTGACTGAGCATTCAGGTATGTGCATTCCACAATATATGTCCGGTTCTTCAGCCAAAAATATCATGAAGACACCCGAGGGCAAGGAGTGAACATGTTTCTATTCCCAGTAGCTTTAATAATTGGGAGTCAAATATGGTGTTCTTCTTGCTCTTACGTAATTGTGTTACAGAGCAGTGTTACCAGGAGAAAAGCAGTGAATACTGAGTGGAGCACAATAGAAGGAGATGGAAAATAGATACAAGAAGCTAGGTCTCCAGGGGCAGTATTTTCTATTTGCTGGGCTACAGACTCACAGCTGATAATGCAAGTTGTAATTAATATAAAAGCAGGAGACAATATGGGCAGAGCTTGTAGTAGTGGGGCCACAGGAGAGCGCTCTGCTGCTCTGCTCTGTTTCTCATTTACACACAGCTTTCCCTAGAAAACACAATTCTGCCAGTGTTTTCTCCCTTGGAAGTTAAAAAAAAAAATTGATTTAGCACCATCATTGAATTTTGCTAAATCTAGAAAAGAGCAGAAAGAGGACAGGAGTCTCTGGGCAGAGGAAGCAAATCATGTGCGAGCCTCGCTCGTTGAAGTTGCAGATACACTGGAATTGCAACATTTTAAACCATTATGGCATTTCCGTGAGAGACCTGCCTATAAGAGAATACTTAAATAAGTCTTGGTGAATTGGTGTTATTTCCCTATTTAAATGATTCCACATGGCACATGGTTCTTCCATGGGGCCAGTGGGTGAAATGTTTAAAAGGTTTATAAATAAATACAAAACTGAGTGGAGAAGTAAAGCGTATGAGGCTTCAAGGAGAAAAGCAAAGGCCATGACACATATGCATTCTACCTAAAATAATCTGAAACTCATTTTAGACCCCAAATGTAAAGGCAATTAAATGGACATTGTATAGGAGAGAAAACATTAGATTGGAATTAAGACTCTGGCATGCCAACTCTCACCAGTCAGATAACTTAAGCACATGATGCACCTCATTTCCATGAGACTAATTTCCTTTATCTCCTTAAAATTAAGAAGTTAGATCACACAACTTCTAGGATCTACACAACTATATAACATCAAGTGAAAAATTATATGTAAACTTGGAAAATATGATAAAGTAACTCAAGGTATGTGCTCATAGGTGAAGAGTAATAGTAAACATACACAAGGATATTTTAATCAGTAAATAAGACATGTAAAACTAATTCAATGCAATATATCTAAACAACCAAGGGAGGATATACTTGTATCAATACCATAATTAAATTGCTTATTTCCTATAACTTTATAATGTTTTTACTCCTAATTAACATTATGCAAAAATTATTTTAAAAAATAAGACAAGGACTCCTATC